AATCTCTTTAGCCGCATTACCATGAACCCCTGTATGGACTTTGTTTTGAAGGGAGACCACTGCGAAATGCTGCGTTATAACTGAAAGTCTGTGCGGAAATTGCAAGACAACCTGCAATCTGATAGTTCCGCGAGCTGTGCAAATGTGAGACCGCACTTTTTTGATAAAAGAGTGTGAATCGGAGGCTTGAAATGTGTGTGATCACTGGTGGTGCGTGCCAGTGACTTGTATTGGTATTGATGTGATGGTGAGTGTGCATGCGAGGGCTGTTCTTCTGAGAAAGAGAGAGAGTGAGAGAGAGAAGAGAGAGAGAAAGAGAGAGAGAGAGAGAGAGAGAGAGATAGAGAGAGAGAGAGAGAGAAATAGAGAGCTTTTATTAATTATTCCTAAAGTTTACTGACCGCCCATAAAATACGATATATCGATACCTGCCTCTACCTTCATGGTTGCGTTTGAACATGACAAAGGACTGCAAGCAAACTAAGAGAAACACTAGCACCTATGTTGCAGGGGTGTACAAAGGCAAGTACTGGTTCTGGTACTTCATTATGATCTTGCCAACATTTTGAACCTATTGAGGCATTACAGCATGTAATTAACCCATTGCATGCCATTATATTAGCCATTCATTTCGGTAATAGAAGCTGGTGCGTGCAGCTCGTTAATGGACATGCTCATTATAGGCTCGCATGATATGACTTTGCAAAATTGTTTTTCTCTAAAAAATTCCGAAAATATAGAGCTATATTATTACTGATGCACATTCTACTGTCTTAACAAATTTTGTATGCAGGCGAGCATTGTTCCCGAGTAATCCATGTCATAGTCACTGGACCTGCGTAAGGTGCTGGGTGCTCAAAAAGGTGGAACAATATTGCTGTTGGTGTCTTGGATCGCACTTAATTATATTTTTATCATGAGCCTTGTGTCTGCTGGCAGCTTCCTTCCTTGCATTTTGCCCATCCAACCGTAACTACATGCACTTGTCATGTCTCCAGCCTTGTGCAAGGTCAGCATGTTTGCAGTGTCATTTCACCACATGTAAAATTTTCCTGTAATTTTTTTTGCTAAAGCATCGTGATGGCTGCAGCATGTTGCATGACTGTGGAAGTGGAAGATGTGTTTACATCTTCTCACCTAAGTGTTGTGGATTTCCAAAACAGGCTGAGCAAGTGATGTTGCTTGTTGGTTGTCTGCTTTGCTGAAAGTGGTTTGTATCTTGTATCATGTGTTTTTGGTCAGTCATGTGTCAGATGTGGAGTCAAGTGTGTATGCTTGATCCATCTTTTCACGATGGCATTTATTATGAAAGCAGCACAGATTGCAGTACAAAACCATACAGTTGTTCATTATGTCATGCCGCAATGCAGCACTGAGGTAGTGCCACAATGACGCTGTTGACCCATGCCATACACAATGTACCACATGGGTGACTAGCCTATGTCAAGCCTATGAGACAGCAGCTTGTAATTTAAGAGCGACTGGTAACAATTGCTTTAACAATGCCGAAGGACTATCAACAGCAATAATGTTAATGCATGATAATGGTTACATCACGGTTAGCTATTAACTGCATAAATAATCATAAGAAGGGAAAACACTTTTGGTAGCCCAACCTTACCATCATCACCAAAGCAATAACAACGCTTCGGCGATGAATTCATAACAACATTACGACTTTATTGATTTTCGCATGACACTTCATTTCCAGTTACAAACAGTAAAAATGTAACTACTGTACACACCATATCATATCAATATCAGCACTACAGCATTGCAGGCAACGATAGGTCGACAATGCAGCATTGGCAAAATCAACATCAATAGCATAGTAGCAACAGCAACAGCACAGCACATTGTGTTTTGATATGAATAATCTGCCATAAAAGCTAGCGATTGCTACGCTGTGTAAGTCAAACAGTCCACGAGAGCTTTCTTACGGCCAGCACCAAAGCAAAAATTCATAAAGAAACCATCTACTAACCCGCCGCCCGACAGAGCCCGCGCGACGAGAATGGCCGGTTGGCGTCAGCTTTTGTGTGTTTCGAGGTATTTTTTTAGGTCTGGCTGCCAGATGCTGCCAGGTATTCCTGCCATCACAAAACCATTCCATGAAGCCATTAAACAACGACATAATGGGGCGCATTTTTACGAACTTTGAAATTGTGATTCTAAGCGTCGTTTCTGAACCTTGAAAGTCGACCAGTAGTTACAAGTAAGCTTTTCCCATCATATCTAATGCCTACCTCAATATTTTCAAATGTATACATTCCCTTTAATATGCTCCTCGGTACGCCATTGTTTGATTACGGTGTCGTACCTTGCACGACATTGATTGAGAGCTGCTATGTATCGCCAGATTGCCGGTTCACGCATCATATTGCTAATCACGGTCGACGGGCGTTGTATCTGGAAATTGTGCTCACAAATGCCAGATATGAATAACTCGACCAATTTATTTGTCTTGGTCTTGATCGCCACCAAGGTCCTAAAACAAAAGGTATAACCGTCAGGCCGAATTCCGCTGCTTCGAATGATGACGTCACAAGTTCAATCGGCACGTAATGGTCAACGGCGAATACATGTATAACGCAGTTCCCTTGGCTTTTTGAAACGGTTCTAAGACTGGAAGCCGTTAAATATCTTTGGTTGGATCATAACAAGAATGCTTCTTTTCGAACAGGCCATAATATCACATGCAAGGTTTATTCATCATTAAGTGGCTGGCGTCCCAACCGAGCGCCTCGGGATGGAAAGCCGGGATACAAAAACTCTCACAAAGCTTTTTCGGGAATTTGTTGCCCAAGTTGGAAATGTATATGCAAACAGAAAAGGTTAATAGACACCTCTTAAAGAAGCAACAATCAGAAATAATACTGACACGAAAGGTCAAGGTCAGGGCAAAGGCCTGCAGACCCCCATTACATGTTCGCAGGGGCTGGGTCAATCGAGGCGCTTCATTTCTTCAAAAAGTATATGTATGCTCTTTGGCTAATTGAGGATGCTGTGTTACGTACTTGTAGATGCCACAATGGGGTCAGGTCAAGATCATTTCATAGGTTAACGTGATAATTTGGTGTGTAATGGCATCCTACCTACATCCTACCTACCTTCAGTTCCTGACCGGAAAAAAATAATGTGCCCCGCAATGTTCCACTCAAGAGTCCTTTTGCCGGAAGGAACATAAGGGGTCTCATTAGTGCTGAATAGGCTGGATCGGAATAAGCTCAAAAACGCACAAGGCCGTTCCATGTTTGCTGGAGAATGTTCATTCTTTTGCGGAATCGGCTGTTGAAACAAATAACATCAAAAGGTTTGGGGTTTGCGTGCCGGTTGCCGATAGTGTAGCCTGTGCTGACCACCGCGCGTCCGGGAAACCAGAGGTACGGGGTCCGGCCTCCCGCGGTGCCCGCCCTTCCTGCCAGGGTTAGAGACATGCGACGCTATATAGCCTCAGCAGCTGAGTACGCCGTAAAGTCCAAATGACACGCCCACAATCTCGGGGAGCAGGGACAACGGTGGCCTGGGTTGCAGTTTCCGTAAAACCGCACGGCTTTGGCCGCTGCGAGCGGCCAAGGCCGTTCAAGCGGCGGTGAATCAACAACATGAAGCGGCAAGCGCCGTGCGCAGCACAGAGACCATCGTAAAATCATGTTTTTTTCAAAACCTCTTTCAAAACTTTCAAAAGCTCAAAGATGACACTGGGTGAATCTTTTTTTAACAACTTAAATGTTGTCCCCTGGACAGATTAACAGTTACTGCAACACGAAAAATAAAGTTTGTATGTTTACTCTTCCAGCTCTACCACCAGATGCCAGTGCCACTTTGCGATGTTGTTAAAGCCAATTCGTTATCATAACCAATCTAAAAATCGCGCAGGTGGAATATTCGCCCGGAATATCTCAAGGTGTATGGCGTTATGACGAAAACCGTTGCAAGCTACTCTAAAATACGTTATCATTTTCGTCCACCTGTTGGCCACAGTGCTAGCCGCGGGCCGACGGTGTGCGACTTTGGAGACTGCAACGTTTGGCGTCGAGTTTTTTGTTTATGAGGTATCTGAGCGCGCATGCTCAAATCTATGCTACATTACTGCATCAATAATCAATTCTGATTTACCGCATATTGTTTTCAGTTTGACTACAAGATTCAAGCGGTATTGATCTCATGGCAGCGTCTGGTTTCTATTCCAGTTGAGGAAGGTGAAAATGTGTATATATATATATATATATATATATATATATATATATATATATACGTACATATATATACACACACACACACATATATATATATATATATATATATATATATATGTATGTATAAAGCATCAAAGAAAAGCATGCCATCAGAAACAAATGGGTCATATCTGGCGATTTTGTGTGGGCCTTTTACCATTAGGGGGCGTTTTGTCAACTTCGTGGCCCCCTTTTCCAAGGCTCTGGCGCGCGCCTGCTGCGAAGGACATTTTGAATTTTGCACATACAGCTTAAGTGAAATATAGGAATGATGACAAAAAATCAGGGTTGGGTTAAGAACATCAGCATAACATTTGCACCTAAATACAATACATGCATTTGTAAGCTACATATCTGTAGTGCCCAGGTCAGATACTACCGCTTACTTGGAGCAACAAGGTAGATCATGATCAGAAGAAAGCTAGGGGGGGGGGAGGCCAGCTGCAACTAACTGCGGCACGGACTCAATTACAGCCAACATGTTACTGCATTGCATGCAAAGAATGGTGGTAAAAGCCATCCATGGAATTTGCATTTGGCTTTGAGGGGCAGCGAGGGGGACGTCACTCCCTAAAGTGTGACGTCAGCCGACAGCTATGACAGACAGGAATGGTAACGTCACTCCCTAAGGTGTGACGTCAACCGACAGCTATGACAGGCAGGAAGGGTAAGTCACTCCCTTAGGTGTGACGTCAACCGACAGCTATGACAGGCAGGAAGGGTAACGCCACTCCCTTAAGAGTGACATGAACCGCAGCTCACCTGTATTCAGCAGCTGGTGACCCGTCGACATTGGGGCTTTAGGACACAGTGGGCTGTTGAGGCCGTCTACAGGCGCCCTGGCGTTGCCTACAGCCCACTCTGGCAGGAAGGGCGGACACTGCGAGGAATCGAACCCAGGCACGCTGCTTAACTACTACACTATCAGTAGTAGCCCGGCAGCTGGCGAGGGCAGAATCTGCTGCGGAAAACGAAATGAAACGCAAGAGTCTGAGCAAGGCCACGCTCCACCCGACACCTGAAACGAAACCGGCCTGAAAAAACAGGTTAATGCATACTGAAGTGCTGTACCCAATCACGGTCTCTGAATCCATCTGCTTTCATGCAATTGCAATTGCAATTGTTGACAAAAATGTGCATTTTGGGAAATGAACTGCCCAGCGGAATTGGTTAGCATGACGTTAGGCATGGTTAGGTTAGGCATTCTTTTGCCTAATGCCGCTCGGGTTGCCATCCTGGGGCAGTGACGTAGCCGCGAGTTTGCCCAGCACGAGGCCAAATCGAGTCACCTGGAATCTCTCATCCAGGGGGACCCCTATGTGCCGCTGTAGGGGCCCTACTCGCCAAAGCCAGTGCGTTCTTCAAGCCAGCCATCTTGCTAGTTTTCGTTTTTCGCTAGGGACTGACGGTAAGCCTGAAAATGAAATAAATTCTTACGTTGATATTTACCATAAACGATGAACGTGACATAATTGCCCTCAGCCAACCGGCTCAATGAAAGCTTTTCAATGGCATGAGCAGAATGACCGGGACGATATCTGATTACGCTTGCCTGCGTTCAGTGACGAGGCTGCGAGTTGTACATCTACAGCAACAATTAAGTCCCCTCGCGCCGTAGGGCGTCTTTTTTAAAGGTCAATTCTGGACCCTCGCGCTCGAGTGTGTCTCATTTCTCGGAGCTCGTTTCTGGAACCTCGCGCTTCAGTGCGCCTCATTTCTCGGAGCTCGTTTTTGAAACCTGACGCTCAGTGCACCTTATTTTTTGAAGGTCAGTTCTGGAACCTCACTCTCCAGTGCGTCTTATATCTCGGAGCTCGTTTTTGGAACCTTGCGCACCACTACGCCTTTTTCTCGGAGGCCGTTTCTGGACGCTCACGCTTCAGTGCGCCCTATTTCTCGGACATCGTTTCTGGAACCTCACGCTTCACTGCGCGTTATTTCTCGGAGCTCGTTTCTGGACCCTTGCTCCCCTGTGCGCCTGATTTCTCGCAGGCCAATTCTGGAACCACCTGCTCCTGTGTGCCTGGTTTCTCGACAAGGCCCATTCTGGAACCTCACGCTCCTGTGTGCCTTATTTCTCGGAGGTCGTTTCTAGAACCTCATGCTCCATTGCGCGTTATTTCTCGGAACTCGTTTCTGGAACCTCACGCTCTATTTCGCCTGATTTCTCGAAGGCCAATTCTGGAACCTCCCGCTCCAGTGCGCCTGATTTCTCAGAGGACAGTCGCAGGGCCTCGGGCGTGGACTGGACTGGAAATCTCGGACTGTAACGCAGCACGAAGCTATTCTGCAGAATAGTCCTAATCCAGGCGTCGCATGCCCTCGGAAGCCGACGGAGGTCGGACAGAGGTCAGAGGTCAGACAGAGGTCAGAGGGGAGAGGTAACTGACGACCGGCGCATTCGCTCGACGGTGAGGTGGGGAAGCTCGGCCGGAGTCGAAGTGAGCTGAAGAAGCTGCTGAGTGGTCGGCTCTGTTCGCACGTCAGGCTAGTGGGTGATTGGCATCCAAGACCATTTGGCCCTTATTTGGGAAGACATGGAATCAGGACGGACAAAATCGGTTCAAGCATTTAATTTTGTTAAAGGCTTAGTCCTCATCGTTTCATTGAATCAATTTATGGGATCAACGCCCACACTAATTGGTGCTTTTTGCGTGAATCTTAAGACCACCGTCCAATCGTGGATTTCCGGGACAACGGTAGCATTTTACTAATGTGCCGTCCGACCTCTGACATCACATAACCTTTTACCACACCTGTACCATCAGCCTCGGTCCATGCCAGTTATGCACATATAGTAAGCCCCCAAAGCGAAGCGACTCTCGCCTCCCCCTCCCCCTCCCCCTCCCCCCCCCCCCCCTCTCGTCATCAGTAGCTCAATCGGAATGCAGGGGCTCAAGCCAACTGAGCGATTGAAACGAACCATGGAGGGGAAGACAAGCGAGCGAAAATATTAGTAGTTGTTTTCGCAGATAATCTTTAGCATTTCAGGAAAATTATTCACATCTCCAGAATAACAAATGTACGTGCTTGAAATGAATAACAACAAACCATAACAAGAGCATATAACCTTTTTGTGGTAATAATCGTGTCTGGCTTCCATGCAGCAAGGACGATTAGACCGCGACACTAGTATTTTGGGGTATGTTCACCCGAATTTAGAGACTCGTGACGTCTCTAAGAGAGCCATGTGCTCTTAATTCAAAAGGTATCAAGTATAACTGACGTGCTCGGGAGTCTAGGACGTCACAAGCGTAAGAATATTTGGCTCCAGCCAACTAGAACACGTTCCTGGCGGTACCAGTGCGGGCCTTCGATGATACCAAGTTTTTTGTTAAACAAAATAATGCATGCAAAGATCTCAGCGTTTTTATCTGATCACCATTCCGACAGGAAGTCAGGTACAACTCTAAACATAGGAATGCATAATACGAATTTGGTATCGGCCTTCTTGTTCTTCATTCTAGATGTATCGTGCTACTCCGGAGGTGCCGATGTACTCTCCCGAAGTTGGCACGCAAAAATAGGCGATATACCTACCCCTTGCGTTCTCCGCCCCAATAGCTCAGATGGTCAGAACACTCACATTCCCAACAGCACACTGGTGGCGAGAAGGGTTTGATTTTCTTTGTGCGCTCAGTGTTTGGCCACGGTTGGCATGGACTACGGCTGACATCCGTGGTAAACCGCGAGCCTAAGTTTCCATGATTGACCTCCGAGAACTAAGGCGCTCTAGACTGCCAATTTTTCATCATTGCTGTAATTGCAATTTCCTCTCTATGCCGCCACCTGCGCGCTTAATGCCTCACATAATGGATGTTGCTGGAATTCCGACCAGCCCACAACGCTTCGCATCACTCGGCAACTCAACGAACGACGCTGGCGAAAATTACATTCGGTGGAAGACGGATGCGACTTTAAGACTTCTTTCCTTGCCCGTGGGCAGCTGAGTACCTATACAAACGTTAAGAGCCAAACGAGTTCGCTCGCAAGCCGCGTAACGGTCGTTTTCGGATATGCACCCAAGCGTCTTGAGCAGGCGACATGGACCGACTTTGCCATGGCTGCGACAACCTTCATGCGCCCGTTTTATCCCCGCGTGCTGTGATCTGAAATTTCGGAAGTGTGATACGCTATATTTTCTCCTGTCTAAATGCCAGAGCATTGCACGTGTCAGGAGAAAACGGTGTGCTGTTATATATGCATACATTGTATACACGCGTTGCATGGTTTGCAGAAAGAGTCTGAGCCGTCGCAGACCAGAAACAATTCCGAGGCAATAAGATGCACATCCTTGGCGTAGAAAACATCACTTGGGCATGTTGTATTTTTAGTATTCGTTTATCTTCTCAATGTAGCCAGCAATGCCAGTTCCAAGCCTTACAGGTTTTCAAAACCTGCGCGTTGCGGGCCTGTGGGCCCCAGAGTGGCAGCGCTAGTGGGGCCAGTCTGCAGACCAGACCCTCAGCCTCTGCGGACCTCAGGCTCCCCAGACCGGTGAGGCGTGACATGGCGTGGGAGCCAACAGCGCGCGCGCGGACCGGTGGGGATGGGCGGCAGGTACCTCGGGCCGGTTGGGCGTGACACAGCCGTGGGAGCCGCGGCGCGGGAGGCCTCCCTCGTCGGCTGTCGTGTCGTGATTTGAATACTCGGCTGATGTCTGTCGGATGTGCTGTCCTCGCGTGTGACCTCGGCCCATTGGGCTGAACGGAAGTGAGGTTTCCACGATGTATTGGACAACGTAATGACTAATTAGTTTTCGCTGAAGAACACACGGCTGCTGCTTCGTTCGTAAGACTTTGAGTCGTCAAAAAGAAGTCGCAGAGGTTTGGATAAAGCGGCTCGTTTTTGAAAATTGATGCGTCGCCGGCGTTTTCTATGGGGCTTGTTACCCGGAAAACCAGCTTGTGTAAGTTTTTAATAATCTTACCGGAATGTCCCGATCTCCAATATTTTGGAGCGTTTTACTGTTTGCTGTCACATCTCAGCAACCAGGGCAGATAAGTATATCAAGCGAGCTGAATGGTGTTGCGGATAGAGCGGACGTACCGGGTATGCCGTTTGAACAAATCATTAGAACCATCTCAACTTTGCTCCCCCGACAGCGATGGCAGTAGTCAGTCGGTAAGGGTCCAATTTCTAAGTTCAAGGTCGGTCACGAATGTGACGCCATGTGACCTGAGTAAGGAGAGGGGCATTACACTACTTACTACGAAAGCCACACAGATTTTGGTCCGTGCGTCCGTGCGTGCTCGTATCACACTTTTGTATGGCTTACCTGTGTAACCGTTCTACTTCCATTATCATCCTGTGCTTACTCTACCCTAAGCTGCCCATAAACTCTTCATACTCTGGCATTCCCACTCGGACGGATGAGGAAACGAACACTGATGAGGCTGCTCGTTCACTGACGCAATGCATGAATGCGGGTGGGAGGAACTTTGTCGAACTCACTGCCTAAGCCTCCTGGGCTATTCAGTGTCTTTAGCCGGTTCATATTGAAAGAAATTCATTACGGACTATAGAAAACTACGTACGTGCTGGGATTTCGATCGGCCGTTCAAAGACAAACTGAAACGGGCTTTGTTGATATTAGTTCTTCCCAGTGAGCGCTAATCGAGAGTTAGCGATCTCCCCCTGCCTCCCTTCAAAAGTGTAGTGCAAGGGCTTTAACGGCCACAGTAAATTCGCAAAACACTGAAAGTCATGAAAGGCGAACACGTCCGTGCTAAGAAGCATTTGCATGGGTTTCCATGTGCCTGTGTTTCCTGCCAGTGTGGGAGGCAGGGTTTGGTTTTAGTTTTTTGGAATAGAGCCCTTTTGATCAGAAATGATCACTTCAGGGCTATGGGATGAAGGAAATGGTTAACGGTGGGGCAGACTTGCATGCGCCTGGAGGCCAACCGCCGAGCTTAAACCCGCGCATGCGCGCTAGGTACCCGGTCGGGGTCCCCTTCCCGCGGGACTCTTGGCCCACTCGTGGCTGACGCATGCAGCCTGCCCCGGACAAGTGAGGTGTCGCGAGGATGCAGGACGAAGCAAGATAGAGGATAAGAGGGACGGATGGGGAGGCAGGTGACGTCAGACGGTCCCAACAGCTGAGCGTACCGCGTCTCGTCAGCCCCAATGGCATCCACGGGTTCACCGGGGTCCCGCTCCACCCGCGTACGCTTTGGCATCACGTACACGCCGACAACGTTCACCGTACGTACATCACCTCGTTTGAACAAAGGCACAACGCTGCGCGTTTGTTGCTAGAACTATCAAGTCCAGCAAGACAACCGACAAGAGTAGATGACGGAGAACAAGAACGCCCCTCTCCGACGATCGCGCGCCGGCCCGGATGTTGCCGAGTTTGTGCGGCAGATGTCAGCACCGTCGTCCTAAGCCGGCGAGCCCGCATGCAATCCATCTGGCCGTCTGTTCGGCAGCGTCTCGCCTGGGTCTGCGTGGCGTTGCTTCACAGCGACGCGCCAGAGACGCGTGCCCTCGGCGTCAGGCTGGGATCGGCTGGCGACGATGGAAAGCTTGCCGCAGGCGCCGCCGGCCGCGATAAACGATCACACGCACCAAAGTGCCAACGTCCTGATGGTTTTACAAAACCCGGAGCGGCGATGTGCTCACGAAGTGGCAGACGGCCGTCAGTCCATCTGTCGCTCTTTCTTCGCCCGTATGTCGTGTCTCGCTCGCTGCGAGGCTTCGCACTTGCTCCAGAACGAGCAGATCTTGGGCCTCGTAATCAGACCTTGCAGTCGAGATCGGCCTCTGGAGATGAGCGACGCAAGCAGCACGGCCTGGTGACGGCGGCTTCCCTGGATTTTTTTCATCATTGTATCGATGGTGATGGACGGCGCTCTCGTAGAACAAATTGCATATGTTGGAGCGCGCCATATTCATTCGGGTGCGGTGAGGTGCCAATTACTATGCTCAATGCGTTATGGACGTTATTAACAGCCAATTGACGCCACGTTTGGCACAGAATGCAACGGATCATGGCGAGTTGATCGTAATGTCATCTTTTTTTTTGGAGGGGGGGGGGGGGGGGTAACGCCTCAGTCTGTTTATCTAATGACCCATGGACACACATCCTATTGTGGACATCTCCCGCTCCCTATGGAAAACGCGTTGTTTTGATCGTGTGGTTGCCTTACAAGGAGTGGAGTTCGGGTGGTTTATGCGGCCTACTGTTACCGCCAGTCAGGTGTTAGAGGACATGACTCTCCCCCTTTACAAGCGATACGCTTCGGTCTACGGATTTCGGACAGGTTCAGACGCGGGCATCGCGCATCGGACGAGGGGAGTGTCGCGTGGTAGGACGAGTATCGTGTAAGGACGAATGCGAGTAGACAAGGACGAGTATTGTGTGAGGACGAAAACGAGAAGACAGGGATGAGTATCGTGTAAGGTCGAGTACGACGAGAAAATAAGGACGAGTGGCACGTGCTACGCGGGTGTACGTAGCTTTGAACTCGAATCCATGGTGCGCTTGCATTGAATACAAGTGTTGTAAACAGATGAAGAACGTCTGGGATCCAGGCACACTAACCTTCACAGACTGCGTCAATGGTTATTTAAAGAAAACATCAGACATAAAACTGTGCTCAGTTTTGCTGTTAAGCATTTACTTAGTTTTCACGCTTCTGTCAAAAGCGCAATGTTTTGCTGTCGCATTAGCCGTCGTGAACTTGCACCATCTGTCCAATCTTTTGGCTCACCTCACAGCTTGCTTGCTTTAAGTTAAACACTCGTTCAGAGATCGCTCTTAACCCGAATACCAACAGCTACCTGCCGCGTCATAGCTCATTTGGGCCAGTGAGCCACGCCTCATTACGGCGATCGCAGCCCATCGCTCCAGTTGCTGCAGCTGAACCACTGCACCAGATCAGTCAGCATCGGACCTTGACCGAGGTACGATCAGAGCCGCTGAGCGAGGCTGGAACGCTGCTGCACATTACGCGGATCAGGCAACAAAAGATGACCCGCGATCGACGCCGGCGCCGCGGCGGAGTCTGTATACAAGATCGCAGACAAATGGGGCACGCTTACGTCATTACGATGACGCGTCGCGGGCATGCTATCGGCGGAATCCGTGCAGGGTCCAATTAATGCCAGCTGTTATAGCCCCGGGCGGCCAGAGAAGCGAATATAGGCCAGAGCAATCAGCCCCGCCTGTCCCGCCGTGTCCTTTGTTTTCCCACCGTGATATTCAATGATCGTCGCACAATTGTGCGGCGCCGCATCATTATATTTGGAGGTTGTGCGGCCCGGCGGCGCGGTCAAGCGTGTCGAAACTGCGGTCGTGTCGTAACGACGTTCCTGTCGGGTACGACACGCCTGCCGCAGATGGTGAGAAGTCGGGTCCCAGCCGGACTGCGCGCTGCTGACGCTGATTGGTCGGATGCAAACGACGTCACTCAAGCGTGGACGTCGGTGGCGACGGGTGCTGCATTGCGCGCGCGCCTCCAGCCAGCTGACTGCGGCCCGTTAAATGGCGCGTGACCAGCACTGCCCGCGTGTCCACGTGTGGCGGGAAGTACTCGCCGACGTCCAGGCACCGTTGCCAGGCTGTGGTCAGGCAGTGGTTCCCTTGCCTTGCACTAGACCTAGGCATCGCCTGTGACATGGTTGTTCTGTGCATCGAGTCTTGTGCATCGTGCATGGCGCAGGTGCATCGTGTCTTTGCTTATGTGATAGCTGACTTACAGCGGCATCTCGGGGCGTCGTTCTGAGCGCTTGCAATAAAAATGTCATCACAGAGGCCCCAAAAATGTACTTCGACGACAGTCAAGACTTTTGGCAGAAATGTCCGATGGTATTCCCCGATAGCGATGAAATGTCCTGGGATTATTTTGGCGTACAATATATCATTAAGTAATGCTGAAGTGTCAGATTGTCTTGGAAACTTGAAACTCATCGATGACCATAATACCCATCCTTGCGAAACAATTCGCTACTGGTCTGTGGTATTCGGCAATTTGGCTACAGGTGTTTACTCTTGCGTTAGTTAACGATCCGTCATCTTGACATTATCGCTCATCTCTCATGCCGCAGCCTTCATACTCCGGCAATCACATGACGGGTGTTGGGTTAAGAGCGTGAATGAATGAAGCGTGAAGGTTTTTTAAGCGAGGTAAGCGCGTTAGCATGACATTGATGATATTAATGGCGATTGTTTATATGAGCTCGATCAAAAGACACCGGACTTTCAAAAGGCGTCGCGAAAACGCCTTCAGTGCTCTCGCAATAGTCTCGCATTTGGAAACAGTCAACAGATTTTCAACGGTCACCAGTATAGGGTCTCTATCGGGCATGTTATACCTGCATTCCAAGTTTTATTTGACACCTCGGAATAAATCATGGCATTGAAAAATCTCCGGTACATGTATGATCATACAGAGTGCTAACAGTAAAACGGCGCAAAATAGTCGCGTTTATTTGTGCCCAGCGTAGGCACATATAACTCATCCATGCTTTTCCGAACCTGGCGTTCCTGGTTCCACCCAGCTAGGCAAAACTTCTGAGGACACCACTGAAGTGATCATTCCATTGAAACACCAGCACGGGACTGCGGGCCACCAATAACGGCATTGAAATAACTGGTCGGATAGCCGATCATAGCTTCATTGTAGAACGAACGGTACTGGAGCATTGTCTCCCCTGGGCACCTTTCCGTTTCACACCGATTTAAGGGAAATGTAACAAGCCGTTTACACTTCTGTCGGCTAAGTCTCGTTTTTAACCCCGAGATGAGCGCGTAAGAACTGTTTACAGCACTAAGGAGTTGGCAGCAGAACGCAACACCACACTCTCAGTCCTCCTCTTCCTCTTCCTCCTCCTCGTCCTCGCCTTCCTCCTCCTCCTCCTCTCCCTGCTGAGCGGCGAGGAACTCGGCCTCCTCCTCCGGCGTCGGGTCCAGGGCGTGTTTAATGTCCTGGCTCGGCGGAAAGCACAGGTCTCGGCCTGCGAACCCAGCAGCAGTGCGTCACTCGCTCTCCGTTCTGGGAGGAAGCATGAGTTACGGCCTCATGAACACAGCGAAAAGGGCCCGCTCTTCGTCACCATTAGCACACCTTGCCGCTCTCTTTTGCTCACGTTTTCCTCGCCCTCTGAACACGATCCTTCCGCAGGTTTCCAGTGCTGTCTTAATGCCGGTGACCGAGCGCAGTGCTCCAAAGACGCCCGTTCTGTACAAGCCGTTCTGAATGCGTCACGTAAACAGCGTCGCCTGTCGCACTGGCTACAACGCCATCACCATCGAAACGGATCCAACGTAAGCACTCTATATATCTCTATATATAAGCCAATGGCGTCTTAAACTGTCAGGATGTACTTGAGCCTTTTGCCGACGGGGGGGGGGGGGGGCTGCCACTTCCAGAGCGGGAGGGGCATGTCCCAAAAGCTCCCCTAGCTACGTCACTGCCGGGACCTGAACCTGAACCTGGACCTGGACCTGTCGGTCTGACCTGGCGGGGCCTCTGGGCCGTAGTTGGCCGAGCTGAACTTGTGTCCGTTGCCGATGTAGAAGTTGTCGAAGCGCTTGCCGTCGCTGAAGGCGACGGAGCCGGGCCACAGCGTTGACCGGATGACGGCCAGGGAGTGAACAGAGGAGAGGTTGGACGACATGCGCACCACCCAGGCCGGCATTCCTGGCCAGGAGAGGGCAGCACAACGTTAGGTGTGCCTGGCCAGGAGAGGGCGGCACAACGCTAGGTGTGCCTGGCCAGGAGAGAGCATCACAGTGTTAGGTGTGCCTGGCCAGGAGAGAGCAGCATAGTGTTAGGTGTGCCTGGCCAGGAGAGAGCAGCACAGTGTTAGGCGTGCCTGGCCAGGAGAGAGCAGCACAGTGTTAGGTGTGCCTGGCCAGGAGAGAATAGCACAGTGTTAGGTGTGCCTGGCCAGGAGAGAGCAGCACAGTGTTATGTGTGCCTGGCCAGGAGAGAGTAGCACAGTGTTAGGTGTGCCTGGCCAGGAGAGAGTAGCACAGTGTTAGGTGTGCCTGGCCAGGAGAGAGTAGCACAGTGTTAGGTGTGCCTGGCCAGGAGAGAGTAGCACAGTGTTAGGTGTGCCTGGCCAGGAGAGAGTAGCACAGTGTTAGGTGTGTCTGGCCAGGAGAGAGCAGCACAGTGTTAGGTGTGCCTGGCCAGGAGAGGGCGGCACAACGTTAGGTGTGCCTGGCAAGGAGAGGGCGGCACAACGTTAGGTGTGCCTGGCCAGGAGAGAGCAGCACAGTGTTAGGTGTGCCTGGCCAGGAGAGAGCAGCACAGTGTTAGGTGTGCCTGGCAAGGAGAGGGCGGCACAACGTTAGGTGTGCCTGGCAAGGAGAGGGCGGCACAACGTTAGGTGTGCCTGGCAAGGAGAGGGCGGCACAACGTTAGGTGTGGCTCGCCTCCGGCAGTGCAGGCTCAGACGGCTGTCGGTCTTTATGGAAAATTGTTCAATCTTCTGTGATTCCCGTCGATTTGTGAAAGCCTCTGAAAAGCCTTGCTTCTGTGATTAACAGCAGTCGTCTGAGGTCGCCGCACACTGGATTTCACTGGTTAAACTCTAGGTATTCCGGGGGGAGGGGCGGGGCTCGATTGTTTCCAAACCACATCACGGAAACTAAGGGCGCCTGGCAACAGAAGTAACCTGAAATCTCTGAAATGCTTGCCTAAATGATGAAGTGCTAGAATGTTTTCCTGCAGTTTTTTAAGCTCCGTGTCTGCTTGATGGAAGCGTTGATTGCGTTGCCGAGGAATGACGTGCAATGTGCAATAAACGACATGTGACGGGAATCAATGTTGCACAAGGCGCGATGACGTAATCCAACCCTGACACTTAACAGAGAACTGTGCTGTCTAGAGCAGCCTCCTTCACTCAACAAGTACACTCATAGCTATCAGTGTGCTTGTTTTGTCATATATGATGTTTGCTTCAATATCTTCAGATATGAAACGTTTCCTTTAAAGGCACACGGCTCGCGTTATTTATGAGGCTGCCTGAGGAGACTGTTTGTGAGACTTTTGGACACATGCGCAGTATCTCAGGAGCCTCCTCTGATACGATGCACAGCACGACTCCACCAGTAGACTTGTGGTAGGTATAGACGTGTGCGTATTTTTCTGGTAGGGGTTTTACTGATCAGGCGCGCATGTGGTAATCGGCATGTAGTGCTTATCTGTGTTCTGCCGGGTCAAGAAGATTGGCTGATTATCCCCACGTCGCAAACGTCTTCACTGCTGCTCTGATTATTAACTTATCGGCATTAGCGCCAGAAACATCCAAAACAGAGGCGAAACTGCAACATAGTCGCAAAGAAGTCTCTAAAAAATCCTCCCAATTGCAGAGGATGGCAAGTGACGGCGAGTACGTGTCACCGAAGCACACGCCCCATGAGGTAAACTGCACGCTCCTCGGCTGCGGTGTCGTTCCTCCCTTACCGTCCATGGTGGCGTCCTCCGAGAGCGGGGTCAGCAGAGGAGGACCCACTTCCGGCTCCTGGTGCGCCTCCTCCTCCTCCTCCTCCTCGGCCTCCTCCTCGTCGTCCCCTCGTGAGGATGGGTTCCACCACTGGCAGCGGCCCTGTGCGACATCGGGAATCGCAGCTAATATTACGCTGATCCCAAACGGGCGCTGATTGCATTCCGGTGCGGCGTATGGGGACAAAAATGTGAACGACCTTTCTATTGCCCACTCAGCTACTGTTCAGAATGGATCACCTAGCCTGGGGCAATACATGACACCACTGACTTGAGGCAGGATGAGGTACCATTAAGCTGGGGCAGGACGTGACACCACTGACCTGGGGCAGGATGAGCTACCATTGACCCACAGCAGGATGTGGCACCACTGACCTGGAACAGGCTGTGGAACCACTCACCCGGAGTAGGACGCGGCACTAATGGCCTGGAGCAGAACGTGGCACCAATAACCTGGGACACGACGTGGCACCACTGGCCTTGGGCATGATGTGGCACCACGGACCTGGAGCGGGACTTGGCACCACTGGCCTGGGCAGGGTGAGGTGCCATTAACCCACAGCAGGATGTGGCACCACTAACCTGGAACAGGCTTTGGAACCACTCACCCGCAGCAAGACGCGGCACTAATGACCTGGAGCAGAACGTGGCACCAATAACCTGGGATACGACATGGCACCACTGACCTTGGGCATGATGTGGCACCCCTGACCTTGGGCAGGATGCAGCACCACTGACCTGAGGCAAGTCGCGGCACCACTGACCTGGGGCAGGATGTGGCACCCCTGACCTAGGGCAGGATGCAGCACCACTGACCTGAGGCAAGTCGCGGCACCACTGACCTGGGGCAGGATGTGCAGCGTGTGGTGACACCACTGCGCCAGGTCTGGCGCCACCAGCTCTCGGACGGGAATTGGATCAAACTCGGGGTTTTCCATGCAGCTCTGCGGGCTCTCCTCGTCCCCGAGATCAGCCTCCTCCTCCTCGTCAAACTGGTAGAAGCCGACGGGCGAGATGTGCGTGCCGGCCGTGATGCGAGCAATCTGCGCGCGCAGGTAGTTCTTCTCGGTGCCTGCGGCGTGCAGAGACGACTTCAGGCGAGCGCGCAGCCATACCTTAAGCAGGGTTTGATATTTTTAAAAATCTGAGTCGGGCTGAGGAGTGGATGGTTGCGGCATTCTTCACAAGGAAGCAGTAGCGACTTAAATGCATTACGTTTAGAGCTCGTGCAGCCGATCCGAAGGCATGTGGCAATGCGTCATTTTCCCCCCTCTGAGAAACGAATATCGAAATAAGCGCTAAGATAAAAAGAAGATATCCGATGAAGTCAATGGCTTTAAAACGGAACCGCGTTCTCCAATAACGCACAGTGAATGCATCATCTGGGTCCATGTTGTGGCAACTCAGCCTGTGATGCAATGGCGTGGTGAGTACAGTGGGACATTCCTGACCCTGCTAGGCATGCGGCTGGGAAAAAATATGACTTATTGTCCCCGCTCAATGGCTGCCGGGGAATGTCCGCATCGTTCTGGAACACCGATGCAACATTTACATCGTTTTACATCGAACTTTACCGTTCAATTTACATCGGAACGTCGCTGTAACCGCGTTGGCGGTGGGATTCAGCCACTGGCTGACTACCGATTTTTGCCGCCACCCCCGCAATACTTTTGGATCTGATCTCTATCTCCATCTCTGGATATCTCAACCGAACTATTTCACGTACTCGGGTTGTAATCGATAGTAATGCGTTTCACAGCCCAGAACACATGTTTATGGATAATACCAACCCTATTAAATGCGTCACAGATCTGGTTAAGTTCTAAGACTTCCCCACAAATTATGTTATGTTTTATATGAGTGCAAACTCCTGCTCGTAATCAAAACACTGATTGCTTACTAATACGATGGCTGACTAAGCTGGCTGCACAAATCGAGGTCATCGGGAAATCCGAACTTCGTTTTAATATGCTAGAATATACTCTGTTGTTATAATATGTGATGTTTTAATACACTAGAATAACTGGGCTAACTTTGTTTGAGGTCTGACAGCTTTCTTTCTAAGCGCTAACTACTTTTAATCTTCTTGGAATTTATTTATACAGCACCATTATAAACCTGGACATGGGTTACCACCTTGCTGGCTTAGTAGCTTAGTAGTTTCACATGTCTTTGCATGGAGTGTGGGGCTTCACAACAGCCAGATCCCAACTTAGGTGCTCACGTAGGGTTCTTTGTGCCGCAGTGGATGGGGTAAGCATCTTGTTCGCTCGCTTTTTGTAGGCAATGTGAAGAACAACAAAAAGCAACAAAAACGCAGTGCTACACACATGGGGTGAAGGAAATTTAACCAGTATGAGCGTGAGCATTAGATATAAGTGGTTTAATGTGTCAGCCAAATCATGAACGAATCATGAATCATAAAACAAGCAAGAACAAGGTCACACATGCGGCTCAAGCAAGGTAAAAGAGCTCTTTGAAAACTTAAGCGACCAACAATATGTCTTTGGGGGACTGTAGACATGGTGTTATAACTTCATTGAGCGTATTCTTAGCTCCTCCACGATGATTCTCGACTATCTTACGTATCAGATTATCCGTGAGCTCAAGTCTTATGTTTTTAAGCGAGACACAGAGGCTCTCGATTGGCACACAAACACAAGAAAAATAATGTCATATTTTATAGACAACATTGGACACACAGGATAATACTAACCTGACATAAGATGAGCTGATGCACTTGGCCATGTGCGAGCCATACTCTAGTGCTTGCATGAACAACCATTTTCATCACATTTCGGTGGTAGACCGTGAAAAGGGAAGAGCGGTATGGACTTATCATGACTTAGCACAAGGTTAAAGTGACCTTTCCTGATGGCTTTTGACGCCGTGCAACGTGTGTGAACTCCTTGCCGGGTGGGACGGTGGCGTACAAAGCAAAACCAGGAAAAGAAGCACTCAAGTTACGGACCTAGATAGCGCCAATAATTTATTTTTAACAGGGCGTACCACGACCTGGTGCTTCAAACAAACCGGATCTGATGCTACACGGGTACTAAAAGTAAGGTACTGGTGAGTCTTGTACGGCAGTTGCATTGCAACAAGGCAAAGGGAGCAAACAGTGCCATGAGTAACGCTCAGGTTAAATAGTTTAAGGTCATTAGTGTCTGGCTGATTTGTGGGCACCTGCTTGAGCTTGTACGTGCGTTCCCTCCTCCTAACATGTCTCTCATGTTTCAGTTGAGGGCTTTACCTCCACATTTCCGTCCTTCGCACACTTCAATTGACGTCAGCATCCTGAGGCAACGCCTCTGCAGCAAGCGGATGCTGACCAGTTTAAGAGCGAAATGTGACGGCAGAAATGACCTTGGAATTAGTATTTTGCCCACAGATACCTTTTTAAATCAGGATACGCCCTTCTACTTTCTTAAACTATATCACGGCTATACATCGCATCTTCTTTGCAAATTCCGTCGCTTTCACGTTTTGTTTACTTGTAAATCAAATTTATCTTTTTATATTGTATTGTGTTTTACGACTTGTCAAAATGGCCACGAGACTGCCAGCGAGACAACATCGTCTGGTTTTCCATGCTCGTTCATCCCTTCCAGTCCGGATATCGATTTTCCACAACTTCAAGATGACAGAGGCGTGGTCAGATTGAGCGAAGCAGCATTCCTACACCTACCTCCGCTCCCGCTTCTGCCGGACGCCAACTCAGGACATTTACCCTGCACGCGCCGGAGTGTTTTAGCAGACACCTACTTCACCAGCGTTCGATGCGATCTTATACGAGCGGTTTGTCGCTTACCTGGGAAAGGTGGATACGTCAGCATGGGGTTGTCCAGCTCCCCGGTGAACATCTTCTTGATCCTCCTCGCCACGAAGATTTCGGTTGGTGTCACGTTGGGCAGGCGGATCCACTTGGAGCCTGGTCCGTTGGTTACGAAGTACACCTGAAATCGTCCACATGACGTCAGAGATGCGTGAGTGCGGTGTTCGTGAAGCTGATTGCCTCGCGCTCGTGATTGGTAAGACAGTGCTGATGATTGAGTGAGTGCGTGGGTGAGTGGGGTTAATGAGTGGACAAGGCAATCCGAGATAGAGGGATGAAACAGACAGAGAGGGGGGGGGGGGGAAGGAAGGAAGGGTGTGATACCAATAAATCGAAATTTAACAGCATATGTGGGTTACTACATATATACATTGGTGACACAAACATACATGCATCACTGGCACAAGCGAACACGCGCTCGCATGCATCACGAGCACCAGCAAACACGCACTCGCATGCGCCACCAGCACCAGCAAACACGCACTCGCACACACTGAAGCCTGCAATCCGCAACAAAGCCCAGCGCCGCCCGCGTAGGCTGCCAGCTCGGTGGTGTCCCTCGTCCTGCTGACCTTCTTGTTGGCTCCAGTGCCGTACGGCTCCACGGGAGGACGCGGCGGCGGGACGAACTTGGGCCGCGGGTCGGGCGGCTCCGGCGCCTCCTCCTCCTCGCCCAGCTCGTCTAGGTGCTCCTCGGTCGGCGGCTCGCCCGCCTCCTCGTCCGGCGGCACCTCCTCCTCCTCCTCCGGCTCCTCGCCCTGCGCTCAGCGAGGCGCGTGAGGCGTTGTATGGAGCGAGTGGTCTGGAGTTCGACTCCCGCAGCAGGCAGTTTTCACTGAGTTTGATTTCCGTTAATGGAAGCACATGTCAAGTGCCGTGACAGCCTTGCTAGCTATGCTGCAATTACGCCCACCGATTAGGAACGCGAAGCTGCAAAATAGAGTGGTGCCCATCGCAAATCTGCAAAATCGAGTGGTACACTTATGGGAGTGGCCGCACTATAGAACTGTTTATTTTGTTGAATTGGTACTGTTCGGTATAAATTGCGTAACTCACACCACAGTCATCTTTTAAGTATTAAGATACTGCTGTTTATAAGTGACATGTTTTACTAGCATGCGTTTATATTTATGTATATATATATATATATATATATACGAAAAATGTTTTGTATACATATATATGAAAAAGTGTGCAAAAATATCCCCGACCTCTTGGAACTCCGCTTCAACGACGTAGTAGTTATTTTTGAGGCCCAAAATCTTGCCCCAAAATCGAACGTGCTGCAGGTGCGACTCAGCCATCAGCATCTTGATTGCCAAATACATCTGAAATGTAAGATACGCATTCAGATGCAATATTCCACTATTCATGCTGTTCATAATGTTGGTTGTTGGCGTATAGAGAGGCAGCATACGATCATATCAAGGATCTTTCTTACGGCTGTTCGGCAATGTTAATGATAAGTCTTTCAATAGGTTTGTCGATCGGCACCACTAAAATAAAGTCATCTAACTCAACTGCAAGCATGCTTTTAAAACACGCTATTATCCTGTTGAAATATTTTTCGTCCGTCATTCAAACAAAAACAAAGCCCAAAGACAGGCATTAAAAAGACTCCAAGAGTCAAAACGAACTTCAAGTGCAAAGTGAATGTGCTCACCTTTCTTCCAGTTTTAATATGTTAACTAAACAATTTGGTGGCGAACAAAACTGGTTCCTTACCAGGGGAGAGAATCTATGAGGCGCGCATCTGACGGAAAATATCTGCTGAGCCTACGTTAGGTTACATAATGGTGACAAGAAACTTGGCATGAGGGGTAGTCGCCTTTCGACAACATATGCACATATTCGTGTTTTTCAAAGTTTGTCCTGCGATATATAAATTTCCAAACACTGATAAAAGTTGCAGCTACAAGCGCTGTACTATTCTACGCCATGGAGTAGGGCGCACTTGCGTAAGTGTAATACAAATGCGTTTTTAGGTTAAAGCTAAGCTGGAATTCAAAGTCATCGCTGCCTTGTTTGGTCATAATTATTTAACGTAATGACCCATCACTGTATACTGCAGTCTTACTAGAAGTAACGTTTTAAATAGAGGGGCAGGTATCTGACATGTTTGATGCCTATTTTTAGTAGCCAAGACACTTGATAAATCTGCTGCACCAAAACGTTTGGGATACCACAAGTGTGGTTGTTCAGCTGCACGTCTGGGAAGCCAGGGACACGGTATCAGACTCCCCGGTGCCGCCCTTCCTGCCAGGGTGAGGGCCGGATGACGGTACATAGCCTCAGCAGCTGGGTGCGTCGTACATCCCCAATGACACGCACCTACTGAAAAGTCTGCCATTTTTGTGCCTGTCCTTTGCCGCCTTGGACGTGGGCAGCTCCGGGCCACGGTCCCAGCGCTGCACTGGGAACACTGGTGATAGAATGCAGCGGTAAGGGTTAAGAAACTGAATGGCTTGAGTGATAAGTCTATTTGACTAGGATCATCATGACTAGGATCACTAGGATAACCCATGAATAACATGACGAGCGAGGGTAAGCGCGGGGATTTGTAATAGATTTACGTTTGTGGTTTATGTGCATGGGCTTATCTTAAAAGCTATCGGTAACAGCGGTGCAGAAATCTGCAAAACCGTTTTATGTCAATGACGAGTGGCCCTTTTGATATGTTTTTCTCTAGCTCAAGTAAATCCCAAAATGGAAGAGGTTTCTTCTGGAACCCTTACGAAAGAGCCTTGAGCGCACGTTAACTGCTGGGACGCCCGCTGCATCAGACATCCACACGGCACTCCTATCTGGACCTCCCAAGTCCGGCGGGCCGAGGACTGCGTGCTCCGGCCACCGGGAACCCAGGGCGGGCCGTGCGCTCGGGGCAGGTTACCGGACCTTATTGCTTGTCTGAAAGCAGTCCGAGCTCGCTGATACACTGCCGCTGGCGGTGGTCAGCGCAGTGTTAATCCCGAGACCGCTCGCCCGCTCCGGTCTCAATAAAAGATTCGACCAAGCCCCCCCCCCCTCTCCCCTCTCTCTCCCTTTTCCATTCCCTCACCCGCTGATGCCATCTCCTGGGAAGAAGCCGGTCTGGAAAAAGCCTGGCAATATCAGACTGGTACGAAGAGGTCTCCTCCGCACTGCGGTACGTGCATAAGCCAGCTGCACCACCTAGATGGGGTCAAACACATCTCCAACAATAATTTTGATTGTTGTATCCCTCTGCACCCGGACTATTTGTTCAGTAGATTCTGAGATCACACCACGTCTAACCTTTATGATACCAGACCTGATCATGCCTCATTTGGACTAGAACACGATATTCAGGCCATTCTCATCCAGTGGGAACCCGACGAATGGGCTTCAGCACGTCCGATACATTCCACTGAGCGTCAGCAACGCAATGCCTCCCCGACACGCATGACGCGAATTCGCTGAGCCGTTAAAAATTGATCGCATGAAAAGTCTTAGCCATCGCCACATGAATATCATCCAAATTAGTTGCTTATTGTGTGTTTACGTAGCCCACGTGCACCCTCCAGTGCACCTGGAGAGTGCACTGGAGGTTGTGACTGGTGTTGTAAATAACCACATACAGTTGCAACTAGTATTGGATGTACAAACACTGCGTGATATATTTGTGATAGCCTCCAAAAGATGTCAACGTTCCCTTAAAATCACCTGGAAAGCTTCCAAACGCGGGAGGCCCAGTCCGGCTTGCTCGAAGAAGTGTAGGTTTTCCATCACATTTGGGGGCAGAGTTCCCAGCTCCTCCTGCTCCTCTATGTTTTCTTCTTCAAGGTTATCGGCAGGAACGAACAGATGCTCTGTCGTCTTAGCTTCCTCTGCCGCGGGACACGCGGGGAAGTCCTCAAACAAAGCATTGGTATCGGTCTGGTAAAACCTCTTACGTTTCAGTTCGAGACTGATCTGCTCCAAGGAATTCACAGAGTCTTCAATCTGTTCATCCAAAACTTTGGTGACGATCTCTGCCATATGGTCATATAAACTGATGGCGGGAAATCCATCTTCCTTTTGCAAAAAGGTTTTAGCTTTTTTAAGGTCTCGTGAAAACTTCTTTCCGACGACAGGCTCAGACATTTTGCACGCCTGCTATCGCTGATCCTGAGTACGAAAATAAACAGACACGCTCGAACAAATCAGCAAGTGGCTGTCAAAGCAACGTGAAACCAAGGTTCAACAAAAATAAAACGATCACGGCGCGTGTTCCATGCGTGAGTAAAGCAGGCATCCTCCATTAAAATGTGAATATGAATTTGCCGCTATACCCAACAACAACTTTCCGTAATGAGACCGTCCTTTGGAATGCAGAACTCCTAAAAATTTTGATAATGGCGCACTCGGGAACGAAAAAGTTCGAACACATATGCACTTCTTCATTGCATGCGTCCGATTGGCTTAAACGTCACGCTACAGCACAAACCCCTAGTTCGGAGCTCAGGGAGCAAGCAATGTAGTAGGCTTTTTGTCATTGTCATGTGGGCCGACGTCAAGTGCAGGGGCATATTTTACATCTGTCTGACGCTTCCCAACTTCCCATGCTTTAGTTTTGGATGAGGCCAAAGCTAAAACAGTAAGGCCACACGCCTGCGGCGGCGGATATAAATGCGTGTAAGCAACGCATTAAAAAAAAAACTTTGCATGCCGTTTTGGGAGCTGGAGGTAAGCTGATGTAGCATTTGTGCACAAATTCACAGATCACCTTGCTTGAAAATTTGCTGACAATGGATTGAGCCCGGGTTGTCAATTCGTATCGACCACATCGGCGTAGCTGCAATGATATACGTTTTTCGCAGTTGGGACGAAACCATTACGAAAAACGCGAATGTGTTGGGTTCAAAATTGGTCAAAATGGGCAGGACTACGTAAAAGCTTAGTTATGGCTATCCATTGTCTTCCAGGATCGGCCGTGGAGTTTTTATTCGAGATAATTTGAGAATCAGGTGACATTGGAGCTTTCGAATGATTGCTGGCATACCAATGGGTCGGATAGTCCTGAGATCTGGTAGTGATTTTCAGTCAGTATGTTTACCGACACTGTGCAGTTAATTTCACGTCTTCAGCTTCCCGGAGTTTAGATATGATAGCAAAGCTTTATTAAAGGGAAGTTTCCATATTTAAAGATATTAAAGCAAGCACCAGATGTGACGAAACAAGCTCACTTATAACTGGTGGTATCCTTCTACGTGGAAAAGACCGCTCTTAGCAGCACAATTATCTGTAAAGTAAATTGCGTTTTAGATTGATTACGCCATCGCATCTTGCACAACGCTGATTGAGAGCCGATTAGTCACCGTTATATCTGGAAATCACGCTTACGAACGCCAGATGTGAACGTCTCGACAATTATATTTGTCTTGGCCTTGATCGCCGCATGACTTATGGCGTGGCGGGATGTGAATGATGTTATTGTGACGTCATGAATGCCAAGGTGACTTTAAAATGCTCACCCCACTATATCTTTCCTCTTTTTGCGGAAGCTTAGCTCAGAAACTAGAGGGGCTTAGGTCGTTACAAGCGTAGGATCGTGGAGAGCACTGAAAGGTGTTCAAGGTGGCGCTTTCAGTTTAAAGCCCTATAAAAATGTGGACCAATCCCTTTAAAAGTCCCCCAAAGCGGGCAAAACTCCTTGTTTTGTGCAGTACGCTGTGTGAAGGCTTGCGTCTGGCGTCCCACACCTTTGAAAAAACGGTTGTCCGTGTTATCCTTCGTTGTGATCAATTGTTATTGCGATGGTGGTGCAACGAGGCCTCGACCGAGATCGAGACGTTTTGTTTCGACCAGTGCTTTTATGGATTTTTCCATTCATGACACTATGTATTTAACATATCCATTGAATGACACAGATCAAGTCGTGCCGATTTTGCAATATTGAGAAAAAAAAAATCCTTGGCCGTCAGCTTGCAGGAAACACATATCAGTTTTCACAACACATCTAAGGACTTGCACTGCTTGCGGCTGTACACTGCGTGATGCTGCTAGCTTGGGGGTAAACACCTTCAGTTGTGTTCCATTCAAAATGTTGTTTATCAGTCGAAATTTAAATATAAATAAATTAATAACAAAATTAAATCAAAATACAAGGTGCACAGGGCCCCCAAACAATTCAGTGTGCCCGAGCAGGTCAGCAGATGGAGCCCGGACAAGTGTGTAGTGCCGTCCATTCAAATAGAAAGTACCCAGGACCCACTTGGGTGGTCCCCGAACGACCGAGTGCGCCCAAGCAGGTCAATAGACGGGCCCCCGACAAGAGCGTAAGGCCCTAAGCCAGTGACAGAGAACTGAAAGCGACTTAGGCCAATGAAGAGGGCGCATGAGCATATAGCGAGTATGTCGGTAGGTAAACCGAGACCAAAGTAAAGGGCCTTGAGCCGAGAATTTTCCGGCAGGTTAGCATATGGTGCCCCGGCTATAGCCAACAGAGCCTTTCTGACGAATGGAAAAGATCTGTGGAAGGCCCCTGAGTGACAAAACCGCCCCGGCACGCTAGCAGGAAGGGACCAGCAACAGCGCAAAGCCCTTCGAGCAAATGCAAAGAAGTCAAGGGCAACGTGGAAGGCTCCTTAAAGATCGAGATGACCCTGCACATGGGCACATGGGTCCATGTGCACATGGGCACATGGGTCCTCCGGAAAGAGAATAGGGCCAGCGTAATGAGACCTAAAGATCCCAAATTACATATTTTCCAATCACTGAATTTTTTTCTGGTTTTCTCGTGGACTCCTCACTTTCGCTTGCAATTGTTCTTAGTTGCTCGAAAAACGAAAATTTAAAGATGTCAAATTTTATTGCGTTTTGTTATTTAAAAACTGCATCTGCTCCCAGCCACATCGGAGCCCACGGGTCTCTTCGGAGCCCGTGCCTCCCTCGTCCTCCCCTGGATCCGCTCCTGACCATAATGAACACGGAGTACAAATCAGCATGGTAGCCGCCCGGGATAGGCGCTCCCCACTACTGGGTGATAACAGATATAATGCATCACCATAAAAATACGTCAGTAATCATAGCGTATCAATTGATAATGATAAATCATCAGATCAAAAGATGCAAAGCGAGCTGTCAAAAATAAAAATGATGTAAATGCGAAAATTATAGTAAAGCAAGCATCTTAAGTTATCACCATAACCACCAATCACCATATGAATCACCAGTCATCCTATTAGTGCGCAAGGCTTGATCTATAAGTGTCACTGAAAACGGAGCTGGGAACGCTTAAAAAGGTCAAGCAGGCTGCTCGCGCTCAAACCCCAACACCGACGCTCCGAGCTGTCCACAGGGGCACCTCCACGCGCCCTGACCCGGGGGTCAGCCGGCTCGGGCAGTGCGGGCGGGGCCGTGACCCCAGCGATCAGAGGCGACCGCTGATTAATTGTCCCGGTTATTATCTGGAGCGCCTGTTCGCACGCGCGGCTCAGAGGCGGCGGACGCAGCATTCGCGCTGCACTCTGTCATAGTTTCATTCCATCTGCCGAATTTGCCGATCTAGGTCGGTGTGCGGTGGCTAGATTGGCCGAAGATGTCCCAAGCGACCTTCCGCGTGGCCGCGGGGCACTCCAAAAGGGCCGTAATGAGGCCGAGTTCAGTGGCAGCGGCGATGGTAAATGATGTATTCAGTATAGGGGCATAGACAGCCTGCAGTTTGCGTAAGATCGTTAGTGGTGGGTTGATGATCGGCCACCCTGGGTACTGCGCTCTCCGAGTGTATTTACTAGTCTCCCAAATTGGTGCGATTAATGTCAAGCAAGCATGGGGATGAACTGAACACCGTGGCCTCCAAGCCAAAGAAAACTGTTCTGTTGGTAGCTGCGAGTAATCGTGTATGCAGTCACTTGGCGTGCGCTTAGCTGTATGTAACTATCAATGTTCCATCAAAGGACCGTGCATTTGCGGAAGGGTGCAAGGCTGCAACAGTCACAAGGCCGCACGATAGTGATCAAACTGGACCCCTGTTTATTACGATGTGTTCCAGACACTTGAAGGTAGGGTTCCAAATTTCCGTGACTTTCCCATGCATCAATATCACGGGATGTGTCACAACCAGGCCTTCCTTCATCTTAAAGAGGTGATTCCAGAAACTGTTACTGGAGGAATTCCAATACAAATCATACGTGGTTCTAGGCTAATACACCACCCGCTGGTATTTTAGTATGCCCGACCGATGTTTTACTGTACTGTGTTAGAACACGATTATTTAGGTCAATAATCACAATAATGGGGTTAAATGAAGTATGCCATGGGCTCTTCCAACAGCAAGAAGCGAGAGAAGTTTCGACCATAGGCTTTACTCATCAGCTGGGTGTGAAGGATGTGTAAACAGCATATTGTTGCGAGCGGAGTTTTTTTTTAAAGCTAGGTAAATGGAAGAAGATAGCAGCCATGAAAATTAAGGCATGCGTCATGTGAGTTTGACATGAAAGGTAAATAACAAAATTACACTGCAAGGGTGACGTCACGTTATTGAAGAGGTAGTGTTACAAAAGCAACTGATTGCCTGGTTATCTGCCGACAAATCGCTACGACTTTTTTTCTGCGAGCTCACATTATAGAAGTTGGCGGTATTAATGTTTCTGTGGCGTAAGCAGCCACGAGTAAAGGAGGAGTCGGCCAATGAGTGCGTGGGCAAATGCCCTTCGATACCAAGCTTTGGAGAAATGACTAATGGGGCCACAGGCCGAGCGATTCTGGCATGACATGTAATGCAAATTTAGCTTAAAGCGGCCCGGCTCGCTTGTTCGTACTTACAGAATCCAATGCATTTGCCCCAACGCTAGCAGCATTACACAGTTTACGGT